TTTTTTTTTTTTTTTTTTTGATCGTATTTTCGAACCGAAGATCTAGAATAAGAATTTGGATTACCAAAGAAATTGCAAATAATCCAAATTAGCAGCATATTGTTATACATATCCGTAAAATGAACTCATAGAAATTTTACTGATATTACGAATCAAAGAATCAAGAATTAATAATGAAAAATAAAAGGAATTGTCAAATAAAAATTATTAATCATATTGTAGATCACGTGCTTTGTAATTTATTTTTTTAGTATGTCATATATACTTACTAATTCAAACTTAATTTAAAACAAATAAAAATATCACTATCTACTAATTATTCTTATCATCATTTCCCTTCTTTACAAAAGATTTCATAGCGTGCTTCATTAAACAACTTGAAGGTATAACAAAAGGTCTACCCTCAGGTTTATCGCTCACATCTCCAATTTCATCAATCAATCTATATTCTAAAATTCTTTCCTCAATTAACGCATCTATCACGGATTGAGTGAATTCTTTACATAGATGATAATAGGGTACCTTATTCATTTTAATAAAATAATGACATATATTTATAATTGGATCAATAGGAATTAAATCATCATTAGGTGGTAAATTTTTCGAAAGTAATGTAAGTTGATGTTTCGCTCGAATGAATGGTTCAAATGATTCAACTATTTCAAAAAGTACATTGTAAGTTTTAATGATTTAATTAATTTAATTAATTCTAATAAAAATTTTTTACTTGTCAATTTTCCGCGAGAAACAATATAATCTTGAACGAATGATTTCCAGTGTAAAATTTTTCCTCCAAAAATTCCATGAAGATCATTTTCCATTTTTAAAATTCTTCCACGTATTTCTTGTGGAATGGATGGTACCAGAACTCCATGAAAATATTTGCTGATCTCCGATTGATATAAATCTCCAATTATCAACGATTTTGTATGGTGTACTAAATATGAACATACAGAAAACTTTTTAAGTAATTTTTTACGTAATAGAAATGCAGCTAATAAAATTGTGTAAATTAAACAGCATATCCTAACAATTGATACTTACAAATATTATCTTATTATTCCGTTAATTAAAAATAATCAAAAATTTTAAAAAAAAAATTTTAACCAAATACAAAAAACATAATGTGAACTTTTTATAACGTACTTTTCGCCAATAATTTCTCGTAAAATGAATCCGAAGTAATATAAATCACATGACATAATCTATCTTGTGTCGTAAATACCACTAAAGCATCAAATAACATTTGAAGAGCTTCCTTATCATTCAAAAGATGTCTCAACTTATGAGCTTCATCAAAGACTATGATAGGAATTTTCTTTCGCCTTGCGTCTATAAAGAAACATAAATAAGTTTGCATGATCATAAAAAAAAAAAAAAAAACTCAAATTTTCTATAATTCGATAATTACCATCATAATCGAATATCCGATGCTCAATTTTATCTATATTTTCTTCTTCTTCCTTCTTTTCCTTCTTTTCCTTCTTTTCATAAAGATCAGCTTCATGATACATTAATAATCCAATACGTAACTTTTCCAACAATTTAGCCAAATCATTTCGGGTTTGACTTGCAACAAAATCAGCATTCAATTGAACATCTTGTCTTATTTCAAAACTTTCAGGTCCACTCAATCGTAAACTTTTAAAAGCAATTGATACATCTCGAAATACTTTTAAATTTGGATAGTATGATACAATTTGATTAAAAAATGATTCTAAATGTGTTGCAAACTCAGTTGTAAATGAACGAACATCCGCGAAACCTATTATGAGAATTATAGAATTATTGAAATTTTTATCTTTCAAAAGGTTGTTTATTTTTTATTTTTATTTTATCCTTTACCTGGAACACGTGCATCAATATAAATCACATGATATTGGTTACTTGCTAAAATTTCCCGCAGTAAAGCGGTTTTTCCAACACTAGTTATTAATCATATTTTATAATTAAATTGTTTTAACATCATTATATTCATTGTGGGTGTTGGTTTAACGAACCTTTCAGAACCATTTACAATCAAAAATTTTGGATCTCTACTTAATAAATCATTTATCACGAGTATTTCCTTTTCTCTTCCCAAAAATCCAGGGGTTTTATTAAATGTATGAGTTATTGGTAATTTTATTTTTTCATAGGTTGATAATGCTTGAGATTCCAATTCTTGTGTCGCTTTTTGTGGTGATTGAGAGAGAAATGATGATAAAGGTGCAATTATTGTTCTTATAATTCCAATAATTGATAATTTACGAGAATGGATAGTATTATAATATGATATTGGAAATGATTTACGTTGTAATGAATAAGGTCGTACGAGAGTCTGTCGAGTGTAAGTTATTCTTAATAGAGAATTCTTCAACAACATTTTTTTTTTTTTTCTTTTTTCAAAGAAAGTTTTTTTTTTTTTTTTAATATAAGGCTTTGTTGAGAAATTTTTGTTGTCAATTTTTACGCCCTTGTTTATTGCATGGTGTTACATATTTGCATATTTTGCATATTTGCATAATCATGATGTAACATCACATAGATCGACAAATTGGGTAAAAGGTAAATTAGAAATTCCAAATCCCGACTTCGAATGGAATACATTTGATAATTTGCCTGGCGGAGTGACTCGATGTTCAACGCGTTCTTCCCAGCTTGTATGACATTTATGACATTGCTATATGTATCACGATCGAATAAAAATTCTTTTCAAATAAAGAAATTGAAAAAAAAGAAAATAAAAAGAAATAAATTTCTTTGTTGATCCTAAATTACTATTAGTAACAATTAGTAAGTAGATAAATACATGGTTCAAAGGTTTAAGAGCATTCGTTCGAAATTCAGATAAAGATTCGAATATGAGAAAGAATAGTTTTTTTTTTGTTCGAATGTTCGAATATAATAATATAGTATGGTGTATATGGTGTAACAATTAAATTAATATGCAACAATATGCACACATTTTTTTTTTTTGTGGACTTGATTTATATCGCATACTTATCCGATCCATGTTGTATTATGGCGTTATGTTGTAAACCCGTAATAACTTCGGTATTTTACATTCATTTCGCATAAACTTGCCAAGCTTCTTTGTTCCTAGATCGGCAGGGCTAAAACAATGTAAATATTTGATTGGCACTTTGTTAAATAATGAGAATCAAATAATGAGAAGATTGGCACAACAAAACAATAAGGTAAATGAAGTGCAATTATTATTTTTTTTTTTGGTATATAATATTGGTGGGAAGCTTTGATCCAGTGTAAGAAAGTCTGCAAGGGGTTTTCTGTGGCAAAATAAGGAGATAGAACGGAGAAAACAATTGCATGATTATATAAATTAAGGAAATATAACTAGCCGTTTATAAACATTAACTTAATAGTCTAATATATATATATGTACAATAACTAAATAAACACAAACACATATAAATGTATTTATTGTATGTATGTTTAGATATATTAAGATATACACAGTGTAGTAGGAAAAAGGTATATAAATTATATAAATTGAATATCAGACTGATTTTAATTATATTAAGTTCTTATTACTTACGCGTGACGATATAGCGTTGCTATTGACGTATGTTGACGGGGATTTACGAGTATTTTCTGGAACATTATTAAGAGTATAAAATATATATAGTACACATGTAAAATTTTTGTACTTTAATTCGTTTATGGTATTTTGAGTACACAAATATAAAAAGAATAAGGATAAATTATAAATCGTTTTTGGATTAAATATTTACAAAATTAAAAAGTACGAAAAAGTATGGCTTTTTTTATTTAGATAAACTTTGATAAGTAGTTCTGGATCATTGAAATTACAAATTAAGTTAACATTTTACTATTTATTCCAAATTAAAACACTTTCTTATCTCTTATCGAGACGGGAGTAACTTCCTAATTCCCTCGTTGAATGGTTTACTGAATTTGGATTGAATGCATGATATTCTCAGCCCATTAACAATTTTTAGTTAAAATAAAAAGAATATTATAAAAGAGTAAAGAGAGATAATACAATATAACATACCTGATACTGACACAATATATAATCGGTCAATCACTTTAAAAAATGTGATAACTGAGAGACTGAGACGCGTTTTGATGTAAATAAAAGAATCATGCGTGATCGTATTTATATACAGTATTATATATATACAATATTATAACTATTCAAGCAATATAAATCAAATAAATTCAAATGGAGATAAAATATGACAACTCCGAAAATCTTACTTTAAAAAATAAACTTAATTTTAAACGCGTAATCAATTTCAAATATGATTATATTAGGTGAAACATGAATGTGGAGGGATTTCACAAAAGAAACATATCACCTAAACATCTGTGAGGTTATTCCGAAAAATTTATTATTGTATTTATTGTATTTATTGTATTTTTTTATATTTTTTTTATCCTCAGCCTGAACAAGTTAATATTTTGAGAATAATCCTGATTCCAATTCTTTTAAGGATTGTCTGAAATAAATATTGTTTAAATAATCAATTCCGTGAGAATTATTTAAAAGTTTAAATTAAATACTGTATAAAAAAAGAGATAAGGCTTATTTATACAAAGTAAAATGAATTTTACAAATCTGATCATTTTATTGCATCAAAAAAAAATCAGCCCATTTCGTAATAGTATAATCTTACCTTCTAAAGATTGTTCGAAAATAGATATTTCGTAAATAATTTAAAAGGGAACTAATAAATAAAAAATAATAAATATTATAATAAAATAAAATTCGAAAAAAGTTCACATGTATTTGCTTATAATATAAAATATGAGGCATTGAGGCTGCGCCAAAGCTATTTTGTGTCAAGGGAGCACAGGTTATCGTAAAGGTATCAAAGGTATTACAATTCACGTGATTTCATAAATATTAACTTGCGCGTAATTTTTATTTGGTTTTACACCAAAGATTAATGTTTAATTTATTAAATATAAAAAAAAAATAAAAAAAAAAGTTTGGAGATTAAAAGATTACAAATTTCGAAGTTATTTCAAATTCTAACCTAAACGAAATTTTTTGTCATTTTTCCTGCCAGAGAAATTAAATTTAGAATAAAAAAAAAAAAAATTTTTAGTAAAGAATTTTAATTTAACTAACAGTTAATAAACAAATCTATATAAAAATTATGCTAGAATTTTCCAAAACTAAAAAATTTGTTAAAAGTATTACAATATTTAAACCGTATGCGATGTGATGTAAACTTAAAAAATTAATCATAAATAAAGAAAAAATCTTTTAAATTGCCCGATATGACAAATAAGCAAGAGATTTCTTTCGATGTCGTTTCGTATGAAGATTGAGGAGGAAAAAATTAGGAAAATTAGATGTATTTGGTGATTATTAGGGGGTAGGTTTTACGGACGGTAAGTCATAAAAACGCGTTTATTGATGAAGATTGATTATTACGTCGGTTATTAATGATAATTAATGAATAGGAAAAAGAAACATTTGGTTTTTTTTTTTTTAATTTTTTTAATTTTTTTTGATTTTATTCTTTTATTTCTTTTTTTGGTTTTTTTTCATGGGGAGATTAAATTATAACAAAAAATGATTAAATATCATTATGAGGCATTATGATTTTAAATACACGCTAGTTAGATTTTATTAAGGGTCATTAAGAATTAATTCGAATTTCTTTATTTCATTTCATGTAGAAAAAAAAGTGAGAAATCACCTTGTTTAAATACTTAAAAAAACGCGACACCATTGAATTATAATGCGTAAAAAAATTGTAACTTAATAAGCATTATTGTTCAATAATTAAAGTTTGTCATCCTATTTAACTAATTCGGAAATACAAAGCTTTAAGCTATTTATTATCAAAAGTTTATCAGTAAATGAATTTTGTTTGAGGCAACACAAACGACGGGTAAAGATCTGGATCACTATTCAAAAAGTTGTTATAGATGAAATATAATATATAATGTGCATTCCATGTGATTTTAAAAGATCTTTTTTTATCATCTCATTGTTATTATGTTGTACATTGTACAGATTATTATTCTCATTGTGTTTATTATAATATCCATATTCTTTTATTATTTCATCATCGCATTCATAAATCTTAATTCTTATTCCCGATTGTTAACTTGTAAAATTAAATATTCAAAAAAATGTTAATATTATCTATCAATATAATAGTATGAAATCTCTTCTATTATATGCATTAATAATTTTTTTTTTTTTTTTTTTTTTTTTTTTATCAGTTCAATCGATATAAATAAGTGGAACAAGTAATAAAAAAAAAAAATCTACTGCATAAAACGTTACATATATATATCGAACAACTAACTATTATTAAATATTATTTTTCTTCTTTGAACCTTAATTAAACTGTTTACAATTACTATTTTTCCCGATTCTCGGACCAAAAATTGATCACAAAAAAATCGTGGTTGCCTATCAAGATCTTTTAACATAAAGTTTCTATCTAAATTCAAATAAAAAAGGGTTTATAATTAATAGATATATTAAAGATAAAATATGTGAATTATTAATAATAATATTTTTTGATTATTAATAAGTCCAAGATTTTATTATTAGTAATAAGGTCAATAATAACTAGATCTTTTTTTTTTTATTTTTTTTTATTTTAATTTGATATAATAACTAGATCTAAAACTAAGATTAAGACTAATTAACTAGTATTTTAAGGAGTGTAAAAACTTTAGGTATACATTTTGTAAAGAAAAATTATTAGCTACATATAATCAAAAATATTTTACTTAAAAGTAAAATAAATATTACTGGTTAATAATATCTTTATGTTTTCTTTTTTTTAAAAGTATTTTTTACTTAAATATCTATATTAATATGTCAAGTTTGTAAAAACAAATTTAAATTTTATATTTTAAATTCTTTTAGTATTTAATAAAAGTTTATATCTGATTTTTAAACCAAATATTTTATTTTAGATCTGAATATTTTAATATGATAAAATAGTTAATTATAATTTTTTTCTTTTAAGTGTATAGAATGCTTTATATAAAAAATATAAAATAAATTTATTTGTAAATATTAAAAATATATATATATATATAATAATTACATTTAACCAAAAGAAAAAAAGGAAAATCAACTAGTAAATAGAATTATATAATTCCAAATTAAGTTTTAAAATTAAATTATACTAGAATTAATATAATTCCTTATTTAGTTAATTTTTCTTCTAATTAAAGTTAGTAATACTAGTGTAATACTCTATATAAAATTACTTAATTTTTTTATAAATATAATGGAATTATAAAATTTTTTATATTATATATTGATTAAATTTCAAATAAAATAAAATATTATAATTTTACTAATTTACTAATTTTAAAAGAAAAATTAATTAATTTATATTTAATATTAATAATTCAATTAATAATAAATCAATATA